AATTATCGACATTATTTTTCCTTCTATAATTAAATAAAGAATTACATCAGTGAATGCACATAAAGTAAACATTTATCTAAAAGCAATAATAAATGGTTGAAAATAAGGAATGGCTTGAAAAGGCTATAGTGGAGAATTATATAAACATATTCGATTACGCAGATTTTACTAATTTTAAACACATCGGTGATGGGAGTTTTGCAACGGTGAGAAGGTAGATGATTAATGATCATTTTAAAAATTTAAGCTTATTTGTTGCTGTGTGAGATTATTATTATTATTATGAAAATTCATTACAATAGTGCCAACTGGCTAAGTCGTGGAACAAGAGTGGCTTTGAAAAGTCTAAAAGGAGGATTAAAATTTGATGAAGTCGCAATGAAGGAATTCATGCGTGAGGTATATAAATAATAATAAAATTGATGATATTCTATTTTAACGCATCTAATTAGCATAAACAAGGTTTACCTATTATACTATAGCTCAAACTTTTGCGCAAAGTTAATTATCATCCGAACATTAATCAATTTCTTGGAGTTATCAAAGGTTTGTGTTTTTATTCATATTCATTTATCTCCATATTCAGATATATTATATGAATGCTAGCTTATGATTAATTTAAAGACCCGCTAAGTGAACACTACGTAATGGTGCTAGAGTATGCAGACGGTGGAAATCTACGTGATTTTTTAAAATTGAAATTTGAGTCGTTGAAATGGACGGATAAATTTGGTATTGCTACAGAGATAGCGCGAGGATTAGGATGTCTGCATGCTGAAGAAATAATACACAGAGATTTGGTAACTTTCTATATAGGTTTATGTTTTATCGCATTATCACAAATGTTCTCTAGTTCACACACTTTTTTTTTTTGTTGAAGCATCCGAAGAATATCTTGGTACATAAAGGAAAAATGATGATTGCTGATTTTGGATTATCTAGACAAGTTAATGACAATCCAACAAATTCAGTGGTCCATGAGATGTCTCAATATATTGACCCACAATGCTATAAGAGCTCGAATTATAAACGAAATAAAAGATCAGATATATATAGTCTTGGAGTCCTTCTATGGGAAATATCAAGTGGAAGGCCACCTTTTGCTTCAGTACCCAATGACAAACTTAGTATTGAAATATTTATTGGAAATAGAGAAGTGCCTGTAGATGGGACTCCCGAGGCTTATGTTCAATTGTATACACAATGTTGGCATGATAAACCGGAAAAACGTCCTGATATCAAAGAAGTTCTTGCAATATTGAATAAGCTTTATATTGCGGCAAAAACGCAATCTGGCATATTATCCCAGGATACACAACTTAATTTAAATAACAATCAAATGCACGTGTATAAGTCTTCATCTACTAGATCAAGTTCTGAGAGTGATAGTTTTCGAAATGATATGGCGGAAGCTCTGAATACAGAAATAAAACATATTATTCATTCTGGCTTAGAGCATAAAAAAGCAGCCTTTTCAGAAATTTCTAATTTTCAGACATGTAATCAAATCGTTAATAATAGAAGAAGAAGCTTGTCTTCTATTAGAAATAATCTCGTGCAACCTTCCAAAGACTTTTGGAAAGAGAAACTTTCGGTGATTAAGGAAAATTATACTGTGAATCTATCAGATAATCTTTCTTTAGAAGAAGAAACATATTCAAAGTTATCTTCTGGTACAAAGCCAGTGCATCATGTGAATAATTTGTATTCTTTCTCAAAAAGACGTCCGTCTGGATCAAAAAGCCTAAAACAGACCGTCTCCATATCAGATTTAAAAATCACAAACTCTTATATGCCAGAAGATCAAATAGATATTCCAATATCTCTGGCTTTGAACCAAGAAATAACATATCCTCAAGAGAATGATTTTGTCTTATACAATGGAAAACCCATGGAATCAATTACACCAGTTATAGATGATATGCATGCTATTGTAATTAAAGAACAGCCATTTTTCATTCCTTACTCTCAATTTAATATAATTGCGCCATTGGATTATGGATATTTGGGTAGAAGTTTTAAAGTATATTGGAAGAAAACAAATAATGTTGTTGCTCTCAAAAAGTTGTATCTTAAAGAAGAGGCTCGGGAAGATTTTCTAGAAGATTTTTTAAAAGAAATAAAAATACATTCAAGGGTAGAGATGTGTAAGAATATTAATCGACTTTTAGGGATAACTCATGGTAATTGTTTATCATTTCGAGTTGTCTTAATGAACAAATTGAAATTCTAATTGTGTAGTAACACAGTATATTTGTGATATAGATGTCGTCAACAACATATATATGCTTATAACAGAATATGCGGACAAAGGAAATTTAAGAAAATATTTAAAAAATAATAGCTCATTTATGACATGGAAACAAAAGGTTGATTTCGCACTTCAAATCACAAATGGAATTCAATATTTGCATGGTGAAAATATAATTCATGGTAATCTTGTAAGTGTTCAAATAAATTTTGAATTAAAAATGCAATTGATTCTATTTATTGATAACTAAATTATAATATATATTGTATAATATAGCATAGCAAAAATATATTAATTCACGACCATAGAAACATAATAAAGATAACAGAATTTGGATTTACAAGATCTCTAGAATCTGACCCGCTGAAAAGTCATTTAGGTGTGATAGCTTACATAGCACCAGAATTATTAAAACCTACATCTACATCTACATTTGTAAATGATGATTCAAAATCTATGGATTTATCAAAATCTACAGACATTTATAGTTTGGGAATATTGTACTGGGAACTTGTTAGTGGATATCCTCCATTCAAAAACTCAAATGAAATTAAATTAGTTGAAGAAATATGCGCTGGAAAAAGAGAACGTCGAGTTCCAGGCACTCCGAATGAATATTTTGAATTATATTCGGAATGTTGGAGTGGTCAGCCAGAAAATCGTCCAAATGTTAAGGTAGTTTATAAACAATTGAAGAAGATAATGGAAAGAATTAATAGAGAAGGTAAGTAGAGATTATTTTAATTTTTTTTTTCCAGAGAATTGTTAAAAACCTTTTTTTTAATATAGAAATCGCAATGAACACTTTTTATACACTTAAAAAAACTCATGTTCACAAAAAAAGCCAATCATTATGGGACAATATTTTATTAACTAAATCTTTAAACAAACATTTTACATAATTTATTTGTTTTTAATCTGTATACAGTTTTTCCTAATAAATACATAGAATTTTAACATAAAGTTTATTCACTAAAAAAAACAATTTTTTTTTTGTTATTTGTTATCATACTTTTCATTTTTAATAACTATTTTTTGTAATATAATATTATTTGATAGCTATTTGATAGCTATTTATCTATATCTAAATATATACTGTAATAAAGGTTTTTATTGAGATTTATATCACTTTTATTTTATAAAACCAAGGCTTTTTATTCTTATTAATACAGTACTTAATACTTAGAGTTGTTATTATATGTTTTTTTTATTGGCTTCTAACTCTATTCATTTTTTTATTTTTCTATTATAAATTTTGAGTATTAAATTTTACTAATTAAATATAAAATATTTTAAATTTATTACTTTACTAATGCTCTAACATTATATATTTAAATAATTGCAAATTATTAATAAAAATTTTTTTTATATAAAGACAAAAAATTAAGTTTTTGATCTATTGTTCTATTTGCCAATACTGTTAATACTGTATTATGTGACTAAAATATCCAGATACAATATACAAAATTTAGAAGCACATAAATATATTTTAAGGTTCTGTTTTTATTTATTTATACAAAAATTTTAAACTACAATAAAACATATAACTTGCTTCTGAAGTGCTCTAGAGTGTGTTATATGTTTTATTATTAACTAGAGCACTTTATTAACAACCCTAGTAGCAACTAAATAGTAACTATATACTGTATATAGTTATAATAAATTTAAAGAATTAATATTTTATTACATCTCCAAACAGCAGGACAAGAGTTCAAATCCTATTAGAGACAAAATTCAAATTTACAGAATGTGTTACAGTAAAACTGTATAACATCAATCGATAAGCACCTGTAACTTTGGTTATATCAGCTTGTACTGAAAGGTTGTAGAATATTGATATGATATATGAGCTATATGAAATTTGAATAAAGTTGCCAAATAAATTCAAGAGATTGTGGGATATAAAAGCCTGCTTGAAAAGTCACAAGTAAAAAGGTAGCACAGATCTTTGATGATACTATATAAAGAATTATCATCTGAAGAACCGAACATTAGTAGTAAAAATGAATAAGAACTGAGTATTTGGCAAGCATTATATCAATCAGGCTACCAGATTAATCAGATGAAAAAGGATTCATTTAGAATAACAGATGACACCTATTGGTTCTTCCCAAGTCATCTAGATTGAAAGATTGGAACATTACTAGTTGGTATTAAAGTACTGTTGATAGTCTATAAAGTGTATACTGAGGTTTGTATGAACTTTGCAGAAGTACAGAGTAAGTAATAGTAGCAGAGGTAAAAAGCTGCAAGTACTTGGCTACGGTTTAGGTATAAGTTACTGAAATCTAGATAATATATGTGTAGAATATGGACTGCTCTAATAGGTTTGTCACAAGAATAAAGTAGTTCTAAAGGGCTTTAGTAATAGTTCCTCTTTGGTGAAAATATCCTGATGATACTAAATTGATCAGAGGGTTTAAATAAAGGATTCACAGGCAGATCTTAGATATAGCAATTAGTAAATAACTATAGATAGTAATAAATATAGTGAAGCTCTTAAATAGATAATAACTAAAGTTATATATGTAACTAATTATATTCTTATTAATGTAACAAAGTTAGAAATAGCCTATATAGTTGCTTTAGCATTCAAACTAAAGTTCAATAAAATATATCAAACTCCAAAATAGTTATATTAATATTAAAAAAAAAGAATTAATATTTTTATATTCTTTTTAATAATGCTATACTTATATAAATAGCAATACAAATTAATAAAAATTTTTTAAATGATTAGTTGATAAACCATTCAACTAATTAATTAATCAGTTTTTATTTAACTAATCAATTAGTTAGCTAATTAATTAATTAATTAATAGATGATTTTCTAGTCATCTGAAAAGCTATATAATGCAAATTACACAAGATTTATATATAAATTATATAAATTCTTCAATTAGTAAATGTGGAGATATTATATTTAAAAACTTTTTTTTACTAAGTAAATTACTTTTGAGCTTATAATGAAAATTGTAGAGTTTATCAAGCTGCATTTAATAGTATTAAGAATATTAAAATTAGTCTAGTAGTTTTTGAGAAATCTTAAAAACTTTTTATTAACATATAAAATTTTTTTAAAAAAAAATTTTATATATTGGTGAAATATTTTTTTGATAAGCTTTACAACTTTTATTATAAGCTTAAAAGTGATTTACTTAGTAAGAAAAAAGTTTTAGATATAATATCTTCATATTTAGCTCAATAGTAAAATTAACTTATAAAATTTGCAGATCCTCTTCAGATGACAGATGAATTTCTATTAAGAGGTTTGGGTCCTATAGCTTTGAGGTTAAGCTTTCAAATCTCTACAAACTAGATTAATAGTTTGAGTTAGCTGAAGACAAATTTTAATAAAATTTGCTTCTATTATCTATAGAGCTATAAAATTAAATGCAAAGCCTTGTAGAAGTTCAAGTACAGTACAAAACCAGAATAAGAAGTTTCTAGAAAGAGACCAGATTATGGAATGTAAGCACTATATATAATAGCAGCATTATAGAAGGTTATATTATATGAAGATTGTATACATTAGTCCTCTAGTTGAGATGACCTGAAGGCAGTATTAATATCTTTGTATCCAACTTGTAGAGTACTTGTTTGAAAGGATGATATGATGGTAGTTAAAACTGAAGTAGTGAAAGAAGCGATAATATATAACTATAGGCTGTAAATATATAACTATAGGCTGTAATAAAAGATCATGTCTTAACAAAAATTGAAAACACACCTAGCTCTGTAGAACAACCTACTATAGAAGGTTACTCAGTATAGAGAGTGTAATTTATCTCTATATATCTAAATGTATCAAATTAGAGCTTTGGTCATACCTATATAGAAATCTATAATAAAAAGAGTTAAAAATTTATCAATATAAATGCTGTATTAACTAGAGTTGAGTTACTCTAAGTTGAAAGTTGTATAATATATATAATGAAAGCTAATGGCTGAAAAAAATATATTTTAAAACAAGTTTCTAATGAATACTATAGAAAGGAATATAAAAAAAGATAAAAAACCTTTGAAGATTAAAAAAAAAAAAAAAAAAAAAAGATAAAAAAGTATGCAAGCATATAAAAGACTAAAAAAAAGATAATTAAAGACCTGTGGATAGCAAACTAGTAGTAGCAGCAGGTTTTTAACTTGAGTTATAAGTTAGTAGTATCTAGGCAAATAAATGAAAAGATTAAATATTTATAGAAATGCAAACTAATATAACTTAGTCACTACAAACCCAAAATAAGTTAAAATTCATTATGTAATATCAACTTTGTCATGTGGTGAATCTAACTAGATAGTAGGAATTTGACTTAAGATATGTATATAAGAGGCTCTTAGCAGATATATCAATTTAAAAACTAATTACCTAAATAACCCAAATTAGGAGTTATTGAGGTTTGATTGTAAGTTATGAAATGAATATAGTTAAGTAACTGGAATTAGTTAGTTGTAAAACACAAAAATCAGATAATACAAATATAGGATATGAATTATTCTGATAGATTTAGATTACAGATAAAGTAGTATGAGTCTTATATTTGAAAATTAGTTTAGTACAGTAATAGGTGCATGAGTAAGTACCAAGGTTGTATAGTAGTGTATAAACTTAAGAATTAATAAAAATACAAGAGGCATAACCTCACCTTAATACTGAAAAAAAATTAATCAATTTATCAATTAATAGACAAATCGTGAATTGCCTAAACAAATATTTTTTTTTATATATAAATTTTACTATAAGCTTGAATATGCAGTGCTTCTATCTAAAACTTTTTTTTTACTAAGTAAATTACTCTTGAGTTTATAACAAAAGTTGTAGAGCTTATTAAGATGCATTTAATAGTAAAATAACATTAAAATTAGTTTGGTGGTTCTTGAGAAATCTTTAAAAAACTTCTTTTTCACATATAAAATTCCTTTAAAAAAAATCAATTTTTTTTAAAGAAAT